GGGCCAGTGAACTGTAGAAATCACACCAGTTTTATGTACATAGTGAACTACATGTTGGATTAAACAACAAATCACCTGCTTAGCCACTTCCACACAGCTTGCTGATCTGGAAATCGTTGGTTTGAATTCAGAGTGCTGCTGCTGTAAAAACAACATGTACCTTTATCAATTATGTTAGCACATGCCCTACTAATAGAGCGAATACAGTATCAACTGTGTATTTGGGGACTTGACTACTAGTACTGTCTCAAAAAGCCAATATGTGGCCAACTTGCCATATATATCCTGTGTGTTTATCTGAATCAACGTACTGCAGATAATTATTGAATTTAAAGTGCAGTAGAACGTCGATTATCCAGACTGTTAGGGGGACATGCTTTTTGTTCGGTTATGCAAACAGTTCGGATATGCGATCTTGTGTGGGCGTGCTCAAATTTACAGGCTCACGTACACACAAATTCTAACGCACATGACTGTAATAAAATCAAACAATAGTACATGTAGAGTACGTTATTAAAAACATTTTTATTTAATCAGTAATACATTGTAATAAAAATGTTGCATGCTGGAATGTTAAAAAATGTTTCAAAATGTCCGTAAAATGTAGCGATAATAAAGTTCCTTTGCTTCTTTCTTGGGAAAACCAAGTCCCGGAACCAAGTGAAGACGGATTTCTCTGAACGATCGTCATAGGCTGTTTTCGTTATCTTTCGTTTAAGTCCTGCACTTGAATCCATTTTACTGAAAAAATCCAGCAGCTTTTGTTTTGCCTTGATATCGGATATCGTCGATTTACCAACACCATACTCGGTAGACAGATTGCTTGCGGTTTTGCCACGTTCTAGTCGATTTATAATTGACACCTTCGTGTCCAAATCAAGCACACCGCGTTTGCATTTCACTGGGGGTAGCCATGCCAACGCTAGATAAAAGACGCTGATAAAGTAAACAGGTGAAAGGTCGCTTCGTATTCGCTGTGTAGAGATCGGCTCGATGTTACCAGATTGCTCGGGGATTTTCGAATGGTAAACTGCTAAAGATGTCCCGATTTTATTTGATTCAGCAAAGTTGTTAACACCTAGAACGATTGACATAATAAATTATGTAAAAATCCAGGTTGGCTACTGTGATCATCGGACGTAAACACTTCGACACTGTGAACCATCAAACGGCCCGCCGACTGTGGTCATTGGTTGCCGATGTCTGCTGATAAACCATCAAAAAGGCACACCAAGGGGTTGTCGTTTCGTCTCTTTTTCACTGCACTATAAACTGGCGTTGCTTCTGTGCAAACATCCCAGAAGTTATTTTTTTTT